TTATGCCCAGGAAGAGGTTTAGACAGAGCCCATATGAGGGCAGGTAATATCAAAAGTCAGGACAGAAAGGCCAGTGTCCAGTCCAGCAGGTTAAGCAGCATACAATTACTTGAACCCAAGAACAGGACAAAGGATGGGATTCCAACAGGCAAGAGCCAAGAATCAAACAACTCACATGGAGAGGGAGGCAGGAAAGCAGGAATCCAGGTAGACAATCCACAGGAAGGGAAGCAAGCAGTAGAGTCCAAGTAAGTAAAAGACCCGAGACGCCTGAGGAGAAAAGTGAGTCAGTTCAGGCATCAGAAGCCTAGGCATTACATAATAAATCTGACTGGTACAAGATTTGTCTCATCCAAGGGCATCAAAACACGGGCTGCCAAGCCTTAGCACACAGCTGCAAAGAAATACGTAGCTTTACCTACCCAGGAGATGCTTCTGGTGGTTCTGAAAAATAAAAGCCCATATAAGAGTTTGTTTACATTTTTAATCTAGTTACTACATATAAATAAATGCATGTGCCATTTAAATAAGGCTAATAATGCACAAAACTGTACCCCTGTATCTATTTCATTCATGTCTATAGCAAATGACTAATGTGGCTAACAATAATGTTAGTAATTTAAAAAAAACACTTTTTGTGGACAACAAGAAAATAACCATAAAAATAGTAACAGCTAATTTTACTGAGCAGATATTAATCACTAAGCTGCTTCTAGGTGCTTTAGGTGTGATATATTTTATTCCTTTCAACAATTCTTAGTTAGATACTATTATTATCTCCATTTTACAGGGCAGGCACAGAGGCATTAAGTCATTTTATCAAATTCACACAGCTAGTGATTGTGAATTTGAACCCATGTTTTTCAACTTCCATTAGGAGAAAGGACTACCATGACACTAGATCTGATGATCAATCAAAAGATAGAAAAATAACAGTTCACTCCAAAACTCCCTTCTTCTCAATTCTAATTCCATCTAGCAAACAGCCTATAATTCCCAACTTTCTTCTACCATCATCTTCTTGTAACATGTGAAAATACTAAGGGTAGGAAGGAACAAGGAATTAACATTTACTGAAGTATGTGGAATTACATATTGCCAGCTTCTATAATCAACACTGTACATATGTGCCAGAGCCAGAACAGATCAGTGTGTCTCCAGAGGGCAAACCCCAAATCATCCTCAAAGTCATAGCCAGGCATGCGAGTTTCATAGGCAGGGATAGATCAGAAATGAAGAGCAGAAACAAGAAGGGAACTTGAGCAAGTCTCCATGAACACTACAGAAAATGAGCTATATGGAGGGCACATAGAAGGTTTATGTGTTCATGATAGACCTTGGTCTGTGCAAGTATTTGGAGGACGTAAGACAGAAGAGACAGTTTTTTAATTTCTCAAGGCTGAACCAAGCTTAGCTTTCCACATTTCCTATGCAATGAGTGAGTTTAAAATTCACTCAGAACTATCTTTCCAACCAATGAAAAATATATGGGGGCAGTTACTCCCTGTCTATAATCAGATACTGAGAAAGTATAACAAATAGAAGAATATTGAAAAGAAAATGAGGAACGAATATCATGATGAGGATGGTTAAGGGGTTGTTTCCATTCAATCTGTTTCCTCTAACCTTTCTCATGAGGGCATCTCACACATTAAGAAGGGACAAAAAAGCAACCAATTAAGCATCTGTTACCACTTTCCCTTTAATGTTTAACTTGAAAAAACTTCCCATTTTCTTCCAAATGAGAGCTGATTGTACATGACTTTGGCTTGGCCCAGACTAGCATTAATTAGCCTGCAGGTCCAACAAGATGGAAAAGGAACGTTTTCGCCAGGGTTCAGTGAAGCTGCCTGTGTGAGCATTTCATTCACTGACAGTAACAAGATTAATGAACACAGCCACCTTGGTGGTGCTTTGAATGTTACCCTCAAGCTGATTTTCAAACACAGCTGACCAAGGAGCCAAAAATCCCATTAAAAAAACACATGATATCTATGTCTACGTAGCAATAGACCTTGTCTATTAGGGAACGTGGGAAATGCTTCCTGTTTTACTTGAATCTTAATTTTTTCCCGTCTTCATTATAAGGAGGTGGCTACCGCAACTGCCTTTGTGATACAATTCTATTTTGATCATTAGCTCTGACCTGCCTTAAGGAGTCCAAGGATTTTCCCATTTCTGCTCCTTTTACTCATAGGACTCCAACAAGTGTTAAGCCAAGTAGTCATTTCCTTCATGTATATCTAGTTACTCAACGAATGCACTTAACTTTCCCATTTCCCACTGCATCCCCCATATGTCCTCATCTCCAGCCTCCTGGAGCTGATCATCTCTCCCTACACATTGCCGCAGCCTCTGTCCTCACACGAACTTTTTCTGTGAGCACATAGAAAGGACACCTATCAGACTAGACCCCCACTGGTGTGACCTCATTTAACCTTAGTTTTCTCCTCAGGCCCTGTCTTTAAATACATTCACACTGGGAAAGGCTTTAACATGTGAATTGGGGAGGAACACAATTCAGTAGATAACAGTAATGTACTCTCACCAGCCCAGAAAGCTCTTCCCTCCCTTCTCCTCAAACATTCCACTCAAGCTTCCACATTCCTAAGTGTTTTCTTCTCCAAGAAACCTTCTCCAATTCCAGTCAGAAATAGTCTTTTACCACGTGGTACTTATTTCATTCTCCCCCATGTTATCTCATATTAGTTGCTTATGTGTCTCTCTCTGCTAATACATTGTGAGTTCCTTAGACACAAGGACCCTGTTAGACGCACCTTGCGTTACCTGGCACAGGCATGTGTGTCATAGTCACTCTTTCTGTATCTGCAGTGACTAGCACATGATTACACAGTAGGCACTTAATAAATAAGAAAAAAAGGAATAAGTGAATTTTCGCTACTGACATTTTCTCTGATTCCCCTTTAATATTTTTTGTCCTCATTGTAAACTCTCTTCCTTTTCCTTTTTTCTTTCCCACGAAATCAATTACTATTATTTCAAGACCCCCACAAGTACAGTTTGCTCACTTTCCCTTTACTCCCTTGCCATACTCTTTGCAAACACTGAGGTTTTGGAGTGTGAAGTTACACCTATATCCCGACAACTCCCACAGTCTGCAACCTGGACCTTCCTTCCTGAGTTTTAGTCCTGGACCCCCAGATCCCTGCTTAATGTCACCATTGAATGTCCTATGAGCAAGTCAAACACAGGAACCTATCTAAACATAAACATCCACACCCAATCTGTTTCCAATCCCTGCAGATGAGACTGCTTCAGCACTTCCCTTTCTGCCACTTTCCTGATTGAGCTTAGTATGTTACATGCCAGGATGATGGTAACACAGAGGGTAGGTATGAGGGTGAGGTGTAGTCATGATGATGGCAATGGGAACAATTTGATTGTTTTGCTCAATTGTGGGTTTAGGCTCGTTCCCACTATTCCCCTAAATTCTCTTTTTGATCCCAACAAACCAAATATAATCCCTCAATTACATGTGATATTTCCTGCTGTTTCTACACACTGCTCCCTCAGCCAGCAGTATCATCCTCCATCGTCTGCATCCAGTTAATTCTCATTCATCCTTCAAAACTTAGGTTAGGCCACCACCTCCTAGAGGAAGATTTCCAGGATATCCTTTGTACTCCTCAGGAACTTCAAGCATACCTCTATCATCACACTTGTATTGGGTTAAAATTTTGAAAGATAAATAAAATTTTTCTTTGCTGTATCTCTTGACTTTCTCTACCAAGTCAGTAGTCTTCATTGAAAAGGGAACACACACACACACACACACACACACACACACACACACCAAGAATCATTTGACTTTATAAATAGAAATTGGATATCATGTTGCTTTCTCTAATTACAAATTTGAATTATTCAAAGTACATGAGAATTTAGGCTCAATTTAAAAAATATAAAATCACATATTCACTAGCAATAGATGTCATTTCTTATAAAGAATGAGCAGAGACCCTTTTGTATAACTCTTTCTGTGTAAAATGAAGAAATCAATTAATCTAACCTGAAAGTCATTCTAACAACACTGAGATGTTCTTGAGATTATCATAGCTACAATTGGTCTCAAAATGAATTTAAAGGAAATAAAATATCTTATAGAGGTAGAAGGTGGTCAGGTTTGGGTCATATCCTTCAAACTAAACTAATTACAGTTTGCACAAGCTGCATAATTGTGAGATCTGCAAATGCCACTGATGACGCACAAGCCTTCTTTAACAGTTTCATCAATGTTGCTAAACACTAAATAATGAGACAGATCACCACCATTCAGGACCTGAAATATAATCAATACTACAACATAGAAACCAGGCTCGTTACATGTCAACATGGAAAGCAGAATACAAAAACAGTTCTTTATGTACTTTTTTTTCTTCTTAAATTTTATTTTTTCCATCAGCATTTATCCCCTCTATTCCCTCTTCCACCTCCACCCATTCCCTTCTACCCCTGCAATCAGCACAGTGTTGCCCATGTCCATGAGTGCTCACTTCTTTTTTCTTTTTTGCTCAGTCCCTCCACCCTTTAAGTACTTTTATGAAGGGACACAGAAGAAATCCTTAACAAATGGGATAGAATGTAGCTTCACAAGCAAGAACAAATTTTGATAGAGCAGCCTCTCTCAACTCAAGACCTACAGTAGACCTAAAAGCTGAGATTTGCTGAAAAACATCAGCTCAGGCAGACAAGCCCACAGTGAGGAATTTGAGAGATGTGGGTTCTATTTGATGAATATTTCAAGCTGACTACATACCACTGCATACAAATTGCTTGGTAAAAATGCACCTAAGCTATTCAATTGTCAGGGATTTCATGTGTATTTAATCACCTAGCAATTTTCCCTTTATTTCATTTTATTATTTTTTTCATCACCATTTATCCCCCTATATCCTCTTCCTCCTCCCCCACACAACTCCCCCCACAGTCACCACACTGTTGTTCATGTCTGTGAGTTCTTTCTCTCTCTTTTTTTTTTTAAATGTGAGGCAAGGACAGTCTAGGTGAGGCTCCTTTCGTAACCACCTCTCCATGGGGAGGAAGCCCGGCCTCTCTACTCTCAGCTCATCTGAGGGAAGGTGGGTCAGAGTTCTTTCTCTTTTTATTTTTTGCTCAATCCTTTCATCCCTCCAAACACACACACACACACACACACACACACACACACACACACGCACACCCCAAAGAGGTCTGCCTGCTCTCTCTATGAGTGTGTCTCTATTTTGCTTGTTAGTTTAGTTTGTTCATTAGATTCCATATGTGAGTGAAACCATATGGTACTTGTTTTTCTCTGACTGGCTATTTTCACATAGCATAATGTTCTCTAGGTCCATCCATGCTGGTGTAAAAGATAAGAGTTCCTTCTTTTTTATAGCAGGGTAGGATTCCATTGTGTGAATGTACCACAGCTTTATTATCCATTCATCTACTGATGAGCATGTGGTCTGCTTCCAAATTTTGACTATTTTAAATAGTGTTGCTATGAACAAAGGGATGCATATGTTTTTTCGAATTAATGTCTCAGGTTTCTCCAGATGTATTCCCATAAATGGAATCACTGAGTCATAAGGTAGTTTCATTTTTAATTTATTGAGATAATTCCATACTGCTTTCCACCATGGTTGCAACAGTCTGCATTCCCACCTGCAGTCCACAAGGGTTCCTTTTTCTCCACATCCTTGCCAGCACTTGTTGTTTGTTGATTTATTTTTTCCTTTTAATCTTTATTGTTGAAAGTATTACCTAGGTCCTCCTTTTTCCACCATTAACCTCTTCCAGCCCGCTCCCATCCTCCACCCCCCAGGTCCACACCACCCCATTGTCTGTGTCCACGGGTTAAGCATATATGCATATGAGTTTATTGGTTGATCTCTTCCTACCCACCCTCCCCTGCCTTCCCTCTAAGATTCAACAGTCTGTTCGTGCTTCTATGACTTTGGACCTCTTTTGATCATCAGCTTATTTGGTTCATTAGATTCCACATATGAATGAGATCATGTGATTCTTATCTTTCTCTGACTGGCTTATTTGGTTCAGCATAATACTCTCCAGGTCCACCCATGCTGTTGCAAATGGTAAGAGTTCTTTCTTTTATTGCTGCACAGTATGCCATTGTGTAAATGTACCATAGTGTTTTTATTCACTCATCTGCTGATGGGCACTTAGGCTGTTTCCATGTCTTACCTATTGTAAATTGCTCTGCTGTGAACACAGGGGTGCATATATACTTTCTGATTGATGTTTCTGGTTTCTTAGATATGTTCCTAGAAGTGGGATCAAATGAGAGTTCCTTTTTTAATTTCTTGAGGAAACTCCATACTGTTTTCCACAGTGGCTGCACCAGTCTGCATTCCCACCCCAGGATATAGGGTTCCCTTTTCTCCACAACCTTGTCAACACTTATCTTGGTTAATTTGTTGATGATAGCCATTCTGACAGGTGTGAGGTGATATCTCATTGTCATTTTTGATTTGCATCTCTCAGATGATTAGTGACTTTGAGCATTTTTCCATATGTCTCTTGGCTTTCTGTATGTCCACTTTGGAGAAGTGTCTATATAGGTCCTTTGCCCATTTTTAATTGGATTGTTTGTGTTCCTTTTGTTAAGTTGTATGAGTTCCCTATATATTTTGGAGATTAACCCCTTATCAGATATATCGTTGGCAAATATGTTCTCCCATGTCATGGGGTCTCTAGTTATTTTGATTATGGGTTGTTTTGTTTTTTTGTTTTGTTTTGTTTTGCCATACAGAAGCTTTTTATTTTTATGTAGTCCCATTTGTTTATTTTCTTCTTAGTTTCCATTGTCCTAGGAGATGTATCAGTAAACATATTGCTATGGCAGATGTCTGAGATTTGGTGCCTATGGTTTCTTCTAGGACTTTTATGGTTTCATGTCTACATTTAAGTCTTTTATCCATTTTGAGTTTATTTTTGTGTATGTGTAAGTTGGTGTTCTGGTTTCATTTTTTTTTTTTTGCATGTATCTGTCCAATTTTTCCAACACCATTTATTGAAGAGACTATCTCTGCTCCATTATATGTTCTTGCCTCCTTTGTCAAATATCAATTGAGCGTAATGGCTTGGGATAATTTCTGGGTTCTTTGTTCTGTCCCATTGATCTATATGCCTGTTCTTGTGCCAGTTCCAGGCTGTTTTGAGTACAGAGGCTTTGTAGTATAACTTGGTCTTTGGTATTGTGATTCCTCCTACTTTGTTCTTCTTTCTCAAGATTGCTGCAGCTATATTGGGGGTCATTTTTGGTTCCATATAAATTTTTGGAGTATTTGTTCTTGGTCTGTGAAATATGCCATTGGTATTTTGATAGGGTTTGCATTGATTCTAGAGATTGCTTTGGATAATATGGACATTTTAATTATGTTGAGTCTACCAATCCATGAACATGCTATATTCTCCCACTTGCGTATATCTTCCTCTGTCTCTTTTTTCATTGTCCAGTAGTTTTCCAAGTACAAGTCTTTTACCTCCTTTACTAAGTTTATTCCTAAGTATCTTAATTTTTTTTGTTGTTGCAATGGCAAATGGGATTATTTTTTTAGTTTCTCTTTCTGAAGGTTCACAATTGTGTATAAAATGCTATGGATTTTTGGCTGCTAATTTAGTATCCTGCTACAGTTCCAAATTCATTTATTAAGTCTAGTAGTTTTTTGATGGAGTCTTTAGGGTTTTCTATATACAGTATCATGTCATCTGCAAATAATGAGAGTTTTACTTCCGCCTTTCCAATTGGATGCCTTTTATTTCTTCCTCTTGTCTAATTGCTGTGGCTAGGACTTCCAGTACTATATATCTATATAGATAATGGAGAAATATGCTAATTAACCTGGATGCCATAACAGGTCAACCGGACAGGAGGAGGTTACACGCACAGTGTCAGGGGTGGGGTGGCAGGGACCTCCGCTGTACTGGGGGAGGGCCTGATCAACAGCAACCACCGCTGCTTTAAGGGCCGGAGAGGGAGGCAGGGCTGGACCGGCGCAGCCGTGGCTGCTGTGGGGCCCAGGAGCAAGGCATGATCGGACCCACGACTCAACACTGGTCTTTGGTGCGAGTCATATATATGTGTATATATATATATATATATATATATATTCTAATAAAAGAGAAACATGCAAATTGACTGCACCTCCGCTATGCCCCAAGCCACACCCATCAGCCAATCAGAGAGACTATATGCAAATTAACCCAACCAAGATGGCAGCCAGCAGCCATGGAGCTGGAGCAAGCAGGAGGCTTGGTTGCCCCGGCAATAAAGGAAGCCAAGCTTCCCCCTGCCCTGGCTGGCTGTGGCCTCTGCTCAAGGCAACAAAGTTTTAATTTTAGAAGAAAAATAAATCCCAGATACCTGCTTCCAGCCAGCCTCCACAGGAAGCTTGTGTGGCTGGGGGCTATGGCCAGCCTGCAAACAGACATCAGCCCCTCACCCAGGCTGGCCAGGCATTCCAGCGGGGACCCCCACCCTGTAGGGGGTGTGGCCAGTCTAAAAACAGCCGTCAGACCCTCACCCAGGCTGGCCAGGTACCCCAGTGGGACCCCCACCCTGATCCGGGACACCCTTCAGGGCAAACCAGCCGGCCCCAACCCATGCACCAGGCCTCTATCCTATATAATAAAAGGGTAATATGCAAATTGACCCTAACAGCAGAACGACTGGGAATTACTGGTCACTATGACACACACTGACCACCAGGGGGCAGATGCTCAATGCAGGAGCTGCCCCCTGGTGGTCAGTGTGCTCCCACAGGGGGAGCTCTGCTCAGCCACAAGCCAGGCTGATGGCTGCCAGTACAGCAGTGGTGGTGGGAGCCTCTCCCGCCTCCTCAGCAGCACTAAGGATGTCCGACTGCAGCTTAGGCCTGCTCCCCGCTGGCAAGTGGACATCCCCTGAGGGCTCCTGGGCTGCCAGAGGGATGTCTGACTGCCAGCTTAGGCCCAATCCCCCGGGGAACGGCCTAAGCAAGCAGGTGGACATCCCCTGAGGGGTCCCAGACTGCGAGAGGGCACAGGCTGGGCTGAGGGACCCCCCCAAGTGCACAAATTTTTGTGCACCGGGCCTCTAGTACATATATAAAAGCCTACACAACCAAACGACCAGTCAACTGGTTGATATGATGCACACTGACCACCAGGGGGCAGACACTCAACGCAGGAGCTACCCCCTGGTGATCAGTGCACTCCTACAGCCAACCTCCTGTGGCCCTGATCAGCGTGATTGCTGGCAAGGCTGAGGGACCCCACCTGTGCAAGAATTCGTGCACCTGCCTCTAGTGTTAAATAAGAGTGGTGAAAGCAGACATCCCTGAATTGTTCCTGATCATAAGGGAAACATTTGTAGTTTTTGCCCATTGAATATGATGTTGGCTGTGGGTTTGTCATCTATGGTCTTTATTACATTGTGGCTTGTTCCTTCTATTCTCAATTTGCTGAGAGTTTTTTTTATCATAAATGGATGCTAGATTTTATCCAATGCTTTTTCTGCATCTTTTTATATAATCATCTGGTTTTTATCCTTCATTTTGTTTATAAAGAGTATAATGTTTATTGTTTTGGAAATATTGTACCAGCCTTGCATCCCCAGAGATACATTGATTGGTTGCTTACTATACACACCCTTACTGGGACTGAGGATTGAACCTCAGGTATACGTGCCCTTGACCAGCAATTGAACCCACAACCCTTCAATGCATGGGCACACACTTTAACCACTGAGCAACACAGGCCAGGGAAAAATGGCTAACTTTTTAAAGTATTTTCCATGTGCCAGGCTCTGTTTGAAGCACTTTAGAAGTGCTACCTCAATTTAATCTCATAAAAACTCTGAGTTGGGTAATATTAATGTGCCCTTTGTAAGATAAAACTAAGGCAAAAAACTAAACTGACATAATGAGTAATAAGTAGTAAAAAGAATAGTTTGGTGCTGAGACAGTGTTAAAAAAATTTCAACAGAGTAGGCCGTATTTGAGCTGGGCAATAAAAGATAAACTGGGCTGTGAAAGGTGGAAAGAAAGACATTTCCAGGCAAAATGTATAGCATAAAAAAATAGGCAAGGCTGACCCTCTTTCCTGAGTGTTTGGTGTTTGTATTTGTTTGGTTTATCTATTGGCTTTGTGGTGTTTCCTCCA